ATACACTTAAAATACACACAATATTTTATATATTTATATAATTTAAATTAATTCAATACATAATCTTAAAGCTTGGCTTAAAATTATCCACGAAGTGAGGCTATACTTACGCGTAAAGAGATATTTTAGTTTACTTTGTTAATATTTTGAGACATGTAACGCAATAACGTCCCATTTTTTAACAATTCTATATGCTTTCGTTTTGCGAGCTTTGAAGTTTGAACGTATGTACATATGGATATATTCATAATCGACGCATATGCATTACAGTGAAGCATTCAGACAGATAGATGTTGATCGACAGTCACTTATGGCCCTTCTAGTATGTATGTTCTAAGGTTGTGTATATTATATGTATACGCGTGTACGTATAATTATTCAACCTATAAACATGAATTATAACAAATCAGATGGGATCATTCTGCAAATTGGTTTGTACCGAAAGAAGATCAAGAGTTTATAGCATCAAGAGGGAGATACGTCAAAATTTTACTTGACGATGAGGAATATGAATATATGAGCGGTCATATAATTGATGGGAAAAATTTGTTACCCGCGACAAGCTATTTGGGACTCGTTTGGAAAACTATTGGCATGATGAAAGGGGTAATATACACAACGGTACCGATAGTTTTCCGAGATGTAAAATTTATTCGTGCTACTCATTTGTCGAAAAATGATGCTGTGGAACTACATATTGCAATACAGACAGGTATTTACAGGATTAATTGTTTTAATTTGAGTGGATTTTCTTTGAAATTTCCATAGCAGTATTTGCAGGTTCATTGTACCTTAAATTATTGTTTAAATATTTATTATAATATAATTCTTTGCAAGGCAGTTGAAAAAAATATCTGGGTCCGGTGGATTAGCGAATACCGATCACGGTTAATGTAGTATGATGACAAAAATGCAATATAATCAAATATATACGAATATTACAGATGGAAAGTTTGAAATAACCGAAGGAGACAGCATTGTGGTAACGGGTACAGTATACGAGACATTAAATCCAGAACAAGAAATGGTTCCGACAGATCTATTATCGGAGAATAGTGATGAAGATGAAAATATGACTGCACGAGATGTCTACAAAGAATTAAAATTGCGTGGATACCAGTACAGAGGCTTATTTCGTGGATTAAAGAGTGCCTCTATTTCGGGAACCCAAGGACATATCACTTGGAAAAGTAATTGGGAATCTTTTATGGATACTATGTTACAAATGATAATTATCGGATATGATACTAGGGAATTATGTGTTCCTACGGGTATTCAAAAATTAGTGATCAATCCAATGCTTCATGCTTCGAAGCTGCGGGATAACATAGATAATGCAGAAGTTACAATAGACATGGATAAACGTAATTAACTTCCATTACTAATTCATTGTTCAATTCGTAAATATTGTGTAAAGATTTCAATAATATGAAGCGTATTATTTTGCCTTGTTACAGTATTACAGGTACGAGTATACAAAAAGATAGACACGATAAAAGCTGGCGGAGTAGAGATTCGAGGTCTGAAAGCTACTCAGATCTCTCGCCGGAAATTAGCTCAAGATGTTGTTATCGAGGAACATACATTTGTAGCTCATTGTGATCGCGCTAAGGTTTCCTTGAACGAAGCAATTCGGTTATCGGCTCAACTCGTACTGGAAGATCATCAAATTATCAAAGTGCAAGCCGTTGAGCTAGTGGAAGATGTCGATGATGTTGAATTAGAACATCTCTCGTCTTCGTTATTGCTTGAGGCATGTGATGATACACCATTGATACAAGTAAATGTCACTCTACTAACATCATCAAATCGTTTCAAGCCAGAAGACTTACCGCAAAACTTCTCAATTAAAGATTTTGAAAAATCACCTTTGAATGACGAAGCTTTAATTGTCGCTGGATTCAACCTTTTGACCAAACAACACGCATTATTAAAGCAACTGTTGTCATTTTTGAGAAAGGATGGTTATCTGTTGACTCGTGAGAAGTGTGACTTAACTGATTATAAAAAACATTTGCACCAATACGAATTAAACGTTATACTCGAAAAACGCACAGATAAAGAACTAGTTGTGCTTCTAAAAAAAAAAATTTCAATAAGAGAAAGGACTATTGTTTACATAAGTAATGATAACTTTAATTGGCTGGAGAATCTAAAGTCGCTTTTGAGTGACGAAAACAAGCTTGACAAGAATAGTAGAATTATAATTGTGGGAGAGAAAAATTTTGAGTGCGGTTTATTGGGTTTTATTAACTGCTTGAGAAAAGAGCCAGGTAGTGAACTAGTTAGGAGTGTGCTCGTTCAAGATGAGAAAGCTCCTAAATTTTCTCTTCAAGACCCCTTCTACTTAGAGCAATTGCAGAAAGATATGACCATTAATGTATTGCGACCTGATAAAATCTGGGGATCATACAGACATTTAAAATTACCACAACCGGAACCGAAACCTGTACTAACCGGCCATGTCTATCAAACGGTATATGCAAACTTTTTCAAAACGTATAATTGATAGTTATCATTATAATTGGGATATACCAAATCGTAAAATTATCAGATATCAGATATCGGATATACGAAAAAAATGTATATAACATTAGATATCCGATATCCGGACATGAGGGAAGGCAATTTTTCGAATCGGATCTCCGATATTTTCCGGATATCCGATCGGATCCAGGATAATGTCTAATAAAAAGCTGAGTAAAAGAATTAGTAAAAAAAGAATTAGTAGAAAAAGGAGCAGAAAGGAAAAGAGACTGTAAGGGAGAAATAGTGATAATAATTATGATTTTAATGTTAACGTCCAAGTTTGATTATATTATTAACTGAGATGATAACTGTATAGAAAAGAATTGTAATTTTGCGGCAAAATATTAGGTATTATAGCATTATGAGTGTGCATACTTATTTGTAGAATATTTATATAATAAAAATCAACAATTTAATAATATGTCATCCAAATATTCATAAAATTCGTGGTAAATACGTTCAATTAAATAGAATCAAATATATAATAGAAAAAGGCTAAGAACAACAACGAGTTATTACTATCATTTAATAATTCTTAAAATTACATAAAACAAGACGTTCCGATCATCAATGGTCATTTTCAATGTTAAATAAATAAGTCCCAAATATATATGTTAATAATCGCAAATGTGTCAATTGTAGATAATATCAGCATTCATCAATTATTCACGGGATCTTGGGGCCCTTTTATATGGACGAAAATTTGAGTTAACGGTCTTTAAGGCGATGCTAAAGCCTCCTGTTTTACCACATTTCCATTCGGTGAAAAATCTCTGTATCTGTATAAATCTGGATGTACGGATTGCAAAAGTATTATTGCTTAAATTAAAGTACGCACAAACAGGACTTCAGCTGCACTGGATTTCCTGAGAAAATCGAAAAAAGTTTCAGATTCGTTAAAAATTCACTTACTTTTGGCTTGTACAGCTGTCACCTCAGATGTATATTTGCTTGATATAAGAGTTTTAGAGTCCATATCTTGAAAATAAGCGTGCAGCTGAGGTCACATTATTGAAACGAACGATA